GTCCAGGGGACTCTCAAGAGTCTTCTCCAGCACCACAGTTCAAAGGCATCAATTCTTCAGTACCGATATAGTACATCTAGAATAATGCAAAATTATTCCAGCTCCTAATCCCTGCCTTTATCTCAGCTGCCACAAGTGGAAACTCCTAAACGACCTTCAAAGGCAGCCCCATGTAAAGTGAGTTGCAGGAGTCAAACTGGGAATATCCACAGCACGGATGAATCATGTCGCTCTGCCCTCCACATTTTCAACGCCTTCATGCCTCAAAATCAGAATGAGCAGGCCTTGATTTTCTCGGAACATCTTGCTACCGAAGGGAATCTCAAACCGTGCATTGATCTCAAGGTGGAAAATAATTTCATTTCAACTTGCACGGGAAAAGCGTCCGTTCAATCTGCCTCATGCAGACACACGCACTCGAAGGTTATTCAGTTGTGTTTATTCCCTATTGAAGGTCACTGATTTTCTCCGTTTTTGCTTCACAGATAAATTTTGTGTTCCTGTTTAACATCGTTAGGATTCTCATGACGAAATTGAGAGCTTCAACCACCTCAGAAACGATACAATACAGGTAAGTGGAGTTTTTATTCTATGATTTCCAAAGAGGTGAAAAGACTGGGAACACAGTTGTGGGCAAGTGGCCAGCATTTTTTATACAGGGAGTCCCTGACTTAAAATCAATCATTTATCAACCATTCGAAGCTAAGACGGCACTGAAAAAAGTGATTTAGGACTGGTCCTCACACTTACGACTGTCACAGTGTGCCCATGGTCATGTGATCAAAATTCAGTTGCTTAGCAACTAGCATGTATTTATGATGGTTGCAGCATCCTGGGGTGTCATGATTGCCATTTGCACCCTTCCTGGGGGGCTTCCGACAAACAAAGTCAAAGGTGGAAGCTGGATTTGCTTAACGACTGCATGATTCACTTAACAACCTTGGCAAAAAAGGTTGCAAAATCGGGCATGGCTCATTTAACAACCACATCACTTAGTGACAGAAGTTCCAGTCCCAATTGTGGTCATAAGTTGAGGACTACCTGTATATGTTTTAAGCTACTCAGTGGCTTCCACGGGCTCTCACTGCTTTCATTAGACCACAAGCTGTACCCCCTGGGGTCAGGTGGGCGATGTCACAACCCACATAGATAAGGGGCAGGGCTTGCGTTGCACCACCACGAGACTGCTTAGGACATTCTGACCCCCAGATGCTGCTGAAGCCACCTTCACATTGATCTTCTCCAGTTATCAAAATAAGCTTGTCTCTCAAGTCAGAAATGGAGTAGGATGAAAACAAATCCCATCTCCTCTCCTTGGTGAAGAGGAATTTAGCTCTGGCCTCCAGAAGGAGGTGGGAGAGGAGAAAAAGTTACTCAACACCATGAGAAAGACAACAATCCCGCCTTGGCTTTGTTGTCCTTCAAAAGAGGCAGGGAAGGTTTGAGACAGTCTTTCAAGTTCTGTTACAATACCCAACACCAGTGTTTCTCAACCTTGGCAACTCTAAGAGGTGTGGACTTTAATTCCCAGAATTCCCCAGCCAGCAG